CGACGACAGATGACGGGAGAGACTCACCTGCCAGAGGCGGTTGGCTGAAGGCCCTCGCGGTGACTGCGCCCCGGCTTCGGCGGAAAAGGGTGTGAAGCGTGGACGCGGAGAAGGGACGGAGGGCGGATTGGGATCCCCGGAGTGAGAGAAAGAGGGAGACAGGGGATAGACGGACGGATGCGGCAACGGCGGCGCCGACGGAGGGTGGACCCGTTTTCAAGGGAGACAACGAGCCCGGGCCTCTCCTCAACTCGGGCGCGCGCCGAGCCGTGCGAGATGAGCGGAGGCAAGAGACGAGGGCTAATTCGAGTAGCCGCCGAGAAGCGAACGGGACCGCGCTGCAATCAGTCGGGTTGTGTTATCGGAGCGCCACGAGAATGGGGGTAGAATCACGATCGCCGCCCCCAGCATCCCGGAGACTGAGGCTGGCCGGGAGGTCTCTTCCCGGGCAACGGCAGCTTCTCGCACAAGCGCAATGCGAACGCGAGAGCTTTTGGTCTATATAGAGCCGCGGGGGTGCTCTTTTCTCTCTCTCTCTCTCTCTCTCCCTCTTCCCCTCTCTCTTTGATTCTCTCTAACTCTCTCTATCTCTATCTCCTCTCTATCTCTCTCCCTTTTGCTCTCTCTCTCTCTCTCTCTCTCTCTCTCTCTCTGGCTCTCCTCCGTTTCCCTCCTCGGGGGAGATGATGTCCCCCATCCTCTCCGTGTCAGCTTATACGTTCTCCGACGCCCTACGTTCTCCGCCTCGGCGGAGTCCTGCGTCTTTACGTCTTTGTGGATTTTTCCTTCGTGTCATCGACCACTTCTTGAAATCCCACTTTACAGACATAAACGCGTCCTGGACGCGGGAAATCGCGATGAAGAATTCGCAGATGTTTAACGGTACACCGTTCTATTTCCGCAAAGAAAAAAAAATAGAGTTTTCTCATCTGGAGGGGGGTGAATTTGTCGAGAGCATTTCTCATTCTAATATATTTTCCAGAATGTTGACTATATCAATTGCATTATTATGTCCCTTTGCTATTAGCTAATTTTCATGTGTAAAATGAAACCACTTCCATTTCTCTGATTACTCTAGTAGACTAATTTCATTTGCATAGGTAAGCTGGTGCAACATATTTTTACGTGTTCTCATTCTAAATCTCATCTGCAATTCTCCTTTATGATTCTTTTCTTCGCTTGGCTGCCTCCGAATACTATCGCTCTTTCGAAAAATTCCATATGAATTCTTCTTAGGTGTAAATCTATTTCTTTCTTAATATTTTTTTTCCAAAAGATGCTTTAGAAACTGCGTTGATACAGAGGCTGAGTTGACCCAGAAGCTGCGTTGATACAGGGGCTGAGTTGATTTTTAATAAATTATTTCGTGAATCTTTTATATTGCTGAATTGTTTTTTCAATATTGGATATTTCAATCAACATCTATATTTTATACATAAGTATGTATCTGTATGTATTGGAATAATCGTAGAAAACTCGAATTGTTTATTCGAGTTGTAGCCTTCATTAATTTTTTAAGTGCTATTCATGCTGATGCGTATATCAGAGCGAATATTTTCTTGTTTTCTGGCATTGAAGCTTATCGAGCATCTCCGTGATTTCTGTCGGCAGGTGCTACCTAGGGAGGAGTTCTCTTTGTCCCGAGGAATTCGTCGCTTTCGTGCTATGAATTTTTCCGCAGATACGTCCTGCCGTCTCTTTCCCAATTCATCTTCATCGACGAACCCATCAAAAAAAATGCGAGAAGCCTCAATGGCGTCTCATTATTTGTCGTAATAGGCGTCAAATTTTCAACGCGTTTTAATTTAAACGCATCGAAAATTGCTTCGCATAGAACTTTTCATTGACTTTGATAAACGTCTATTTTAATATATATAAAAGCGCTTTCGCAAAGTTCATTCACAAATAAAAAGAATGTAAATCAGAAATCAGCTAACGGAATATTTCTATGCAAAAGAGACGATTTTTTTTAAACTGTAATGAACGAAATAACGAGACCCTTTTTATTCAGATGATGCAAGAATGTTACGCGAAGACTCGGGGTGTATCTGTGTCAAGTACAGTGTTTTTAGTTCCGCTAAAGCGTATACTCATTTGAAAGAGAAGCTGTTATTCGCTGCTAGTGAATTCCGCCCAGGTGAAAGACGAATTTTTGCAAAGTCGAGGAGATTTCAAGCGCGTATTTGGTTCAGCCGCCGCAACCGTCCTTCCACCGGGAAGATGTCGAGGGGTAGGGGCGGTGGGTGGCCGGCGGCGCGAGATAGTTGTACGCGGGGGAAGGTGGGGTGGCTACAGAGGGGTGGTGACGAGGGGGAGGGGGAGAGGGGGGGGGGTGAAATGCTCCGTGGTTCTGCGACCCACTGACCCGCTCGATAACGCTTCCACCGGGGGTCACTGACCTTCCTCACGCGCGCGAAATTCGCGTTTGGTACGACTCTCTCGGCGCTGCCGCGTCTCTCGGCTTCGAGTCAAAGATCATCCCGTCGCGCGAGGAGTTCCTCGATCGCGCGCGGCGTCTCGGTGGGTGCCGCAGTATACCGATTGTTGTAGCCCGGGATCGATCGACGTACTACGATGACGGTGAACGGAAGTGCGCAAGCCGGAGCGAAGACGGAGCTGACCGATTGTCAATCTGGAATGTCGGAATTGCTTTTCGACTGGCCGATTCGGCCCTCGAGGATTTGGCGGAATTTATTGCGCGGCCGTGTATACACGTCGAGCGAGGAATGCGGGGATGAGAAGGCCGTGACGATTGCAAAAAGCGTTGCTTGCCGAAGGAACGAAATCGGGTTTTTTTCACGATGCAGCGGCAAATTAATACGACTAAGAGTATTACATCAAATTTCGTACGTGTAGATGCATAACGTATGTATTTTGCTTGCAAACGTATCTTACGACGTCAATCAGAATATAAATATTGATCTTCATCAATGATCCTCAAGATACATCTTCCAGATCGAGATTCGAAGTATGTTACGAGTTATTCTTGAGTTGGCAAGAGTCAATTTAAAAGTGTATCACGACATTTCCGCAATATTCGGTAGCGAACGTCCAATATTATTTAACGATTAAATAACGAAGTCTGGCAATGGTCCATATCCTCAATTCCGGGCTCCACAATGTCGCAACTTTTTTTCATACAGATTCTTAAGAAAACGGAAATAGAAAACAGCGATCGCGAAACGCGATAATTTATATTAATCAGCGGACGTATCATTTATTTTATTGTCGTTTTATCATCGTAAAGACGTACAAATAACTTAATAAGATCTATATCTTCTCTTTCCGCTTTTAAGTATAACAATTATCATAAAGTTGTTTCGGCTGTCAACGCATATATGCCTTCAACTTCCACATTTATCTCATCATTGCTACTTAATACTCTTGCTTCGGCTTGTGACTTTGATTCTTTTAGGCGCGCATTAATAAAGGTGGCGCGAGAAAGCGTTAAAAGAGTTAAGCGAGGAATTAAGAATCGCGTGGTAACACGGTTTGTGCAATTGAATCAGGCGCAACAGCCCATTCGTAGTATTTTTCTGCGTGCTGTAATATCGCGTTTCAAGGATTGCGACAGGCGAGACACTCACGCACAGCAGTATTGATTTCGAGACCCCGCTGGCAGTGCTGCCACGATTCCGCGTCTCTAGAACTAAACTCTAAATGAGATATCGCAAAAACGATGATGTGCCAAAATTTATCTTGGAATGGAAAATGATTTCTTTCTCAGAATGGGGAAAGAGGAACTTTGCGCAATATCGATAATAATTTATCTAGGCAAAATTCTAGCTGACCCTTCAAACTTTTTAAAATTCTCAATTTTTAACAATTCAAATCATATACTCAAAGATAATTGCAAAATATGTACCCAAAAATTTTTCTATATGACAAAACTGAGTTGCACTTACAATTTATCTTTTTATCTTCGTAATTTCGAATTTATCATCCATAAATTTCAGTAAATTTTATTTTGTGCATTTTATTTTGCATTTATCAATTTTTGATTAGTTGGGTGAATGACCGATCAAATTTATTTACGTGCTGCTCGAAAAGAGCTCTTAAAATGATATTCCTCTTTAAAAGTGCATGTTAACGCACCATTGAGTCAACTGGCTGTAAATTGCTGCGTCAGTTATTACACATTCGATGATCTCTATTGCACAATCGTCTAACATAATACTAACTTATCGCACCTCGTAAATGAATCGAAGGTGATCGCGTTCATTTGGCTAATTAAGTAACTTACAGCCCCTGCAATGTGAAATTACGTTCAAAATAACCACGTATAAATATTTATATCCTGCGTTTTATATTAATTTCGTTTTACTCTTCGATTTTATCAGAATTTTTTTTAGATAATTATTAAGCAATTAATGACACCCCTCTGATTATATAATGGATCGATACATCCCGGCTAAATATATAAGCTTGAAATACACAAATATACTGACTCTATTATAAGCCATTTGCTTGCTAAAACACCAAGCAAACGAGCTCGGTGTCTGCGAGTATCGGTGATCGTAAAATGTGTAACCGCCTTGAAGTATCTCGAAGGTTATTTTAAGTCGCTCGAAGGCTTCCAGACACTCTTTAATGATAAGCAATGCACTTGAGACACGATATCGGAGTTCCATATGGTGTGTGATGATTTTCGGGTTAAACGAACGATCCGGATGTTTATGTTTATCTCGAATTGATAAAATGCAGAACGGATCTTATCGTTTATATAATATTTTTTTTCAAATATTTTTAACAGAAAATTGTATTTTAATAATAATATATCACCTCAATCATATATATTATATCTTCACATATTGTTTCAATTATATTATTCGTCAACTATAATTATCAAATTAAAAAGAGACCTTATGTCAAGTTAAATATTTAAATATGTTTCGTGAAAATCTTAAATATTATTTCGCAGAATAGAGACATTGACAACCAGTCAATATATCTCACAGTCAAGGGCCTTACGAACTTGTATTTTGCCAGAATGTACTTACTTCGCATTCTTTGGCACCATGCCATTAGCTGAACCGGAATATGTAGGAGTGAAGCAGAGGGGTGGGTTATTCGCATTCTGTGGAACTAGGGGCTGCCTCGCATGCGCTGGCGACGTGTGCGAGCCGTAGCCATCGGAGTTCAGCTGAAATTCACCATAACGAGAATAAATTTAAACATTTCCAATAAAACTTCTGCTTGGAATTATTACGTGCTTTGAAATTATGTCGAGTGCAGTTATACTTTATGTCATTACAATCTAATTTTAGCTTATGGTTACGGAACGTCCGCCAATTGTGAATGTTTTTTTTTACCGTAAATTCTTTAGTCGACTGAGCCTTTATCATTTTTTTATGAATGCATTTATTGTGTTCTGATATTTTTGTTAAGAGAAGACTGTTTCTGACTATTGATAAAAAAAAAGAGCTCTGATTAAATAGACATAGGAATTACGCGACATTCTATATTGATATACGGAAACGGAACGATTTTACTAAAATATTTGAAAATTTAGCTAGATATAGATCTGTCAAAAAATAATTTTGTTGGACTTTTAAAATAATTATGTAGGACGCTAAAGCATAATGAACAATACTGCAAAAAATTTTGATATTTTAGCAACCAGCTTGAGTATCCTACATAATTATTGATGGTCTAACAAAATTATTTTCAGTTTTGTATCAGACTAAATTTTTATAGGTACTTCAGCTGTTCTTTCCGTGTATTCATAATTTATTGCTATGTTTTATCACTCACCTTTACAACGGTACCGATCAGAGAATCCGGCGGCATTTCCGGGGGTTCGGGTATCACACCTGGATTCATATGCGCCGGATAATCGTTGTGCAAATTAGCCTCCTTAACAGGAGTACCACCGTCGAGTCGTTCCATGTCCAGGCTATCTGTTGGTGTCGGCTGGGAGAGCAAGCGCTCTTTCATCTCATGTAGGTACGGACACCGTTGCATCTCTTCAGACTCTTCTGGGTCTCTCTGACGATCTGAAGAATGAAAGTAGAATCAGAATCACACGTGCAAGAAAACTATTTAAATAATACTTATTGTTACTTATATTTAAATATGAGATACGCGATTGCACAACTTTGCTCATATTTTTTTATAGACGCGGTTATCATATGAATAATTTGATGTAATTCGAAGCGTCTTTTTACAAACAGCCGCGTCTACTTGATTTTCGCGCACGTTATGACATACGAGACGTCACGCATCAACGAGGAAGTCAGGAAAGATGTGTACAAAAATTTTACAAAAAATCAATTAAATTTTTGTAACACTCTTTTCATTATAAAAAATTGATAACCGTATATTTATCATTTTATTTCTTTCCGCAAGTTTTAGAGAAAATATATTAAATTTCCGAATTTTATTCCTGACCGTATAAATCTGGATGGAAATTTATGAGACATGTTATAGACCATAAAAAATTTAAGCAAACATGATTTAATAAAAATATGTACAGTGTATGACAGTGTTAGAATAGTAACTTTTCTTATAGAAGTAGGAGTGGAATCTCATTTCGCTGGATTTGTTGGACGTCTTTTTGATTTTATTGAAGCGCACGTGCGCGATCCTTTGAGTCCTTAGCTTTCAACTATCGGAAGAAACATAACTTTCGCAGACTGTTCTGATTTACGAATGTTCTGAAAACTAAAAGAGGATTGAAAGACCGAGAATTACAACTTTTAATTCTCAAAACAAATAATTTCTCTTTTAAGATGCTTAAATTTAGATTGAATGTATTCTGAAGCTTGGTATAAGTATCACGTTATACAAGTTTGTTGTGTATTATTGTTACTTTTGTTTACATGTTTCTTAATTGCTTTATCATAGACGTTGATGTAACTGTATCTACTAGCTAGAGATACAATCGAATGAAACATGAAACACTTGTGGTGTACATTACACCGATGGACAGATCAGATTATCTGATAGATAGACGAGTATTTTAAAGACAACAAAAAGGGCACATTTATCCTTTAATCAAGAAATTTATCATATTTGAAATAGTATTATTATCAAGCCTCGCATTTTTATTTTAATATTAACTGTATATTTGCAAACGTAAAATGATACATTGAATTCACACTTGAAAGATTTCAAGCCTGCACGTTATCTCATTGATTTATTTCACCGAATCGTTTCACTAAACTTACTCGAAGCCGCAGTACCCATGGTGCACACTTTTACGCCTGTTTAACACTAGAAAAGAGATCCTCGAGGAAAAACTCTCGCACGAGAACTTGATGAAAAAGAGTGCGTGCTGAGCAAGAGCCCAGCAACGATAGTGCAAACGCGATCGGATCGGTACTGTCTCAGAAGGAAGCTCCATCGCCGTTAACTCACTTCTTGGCTCTCTCCCCGTAGTAGAGATCGCCAAACATGGAGCTGCGATTGGCGCGCTAGCGTGTTCGCCTGGTCACGTGCATACATCTTTCCACGTGGATGCTCTCCGAGGAACTCGACGAGCGAGATAGAAAGCCGAACGGGACACCTCGGAGAGATATGTTTGAAGAGACGTCACGTGTAACACGATCGTGGATTGATTTTTAAAGTCCCCGCAGGGGTGACTGATCCGCATATTTGGATTTAGCGAACCTATGGATCCGAGCTCAACTGCGCACACTCGCATATATATTTATCCGCTGTACTTATGTACACACATTTGTACGAGTGATATTGCGGTAAATATTTGAAGAAAAAAATAGAAGGTATTTAATTAAGAAATTTAATTAAGGAAAATGTAAAAAAATTAAATCAAGTTACATCAATTTAATTTAAGAAAAATAAGAAGAGGAACAAGATTCACGTATATACTTGATGTAAATGGAGCAGAATAACGCTCGAAAGCTAGAAGTTCATTTTTATTTACATCCGTTAATTATGAAAATTTAAAATAATTACCATAAAAATGAAGAAATTACTGACAAAGCATATTAAGGTAGATCGATTAAATTGTTTATTCACACAATTTTTTCATGCAGCAATCTGTCTTTATTGATCTATCAAATTAAACGTTTGTTTAATTTTTATAAAATCATTTTTTGTCGTAATCGCGTCAATCTGTATATTGAATCATTATCGAATTATTTGCTATTATTAACCTACTGCTTTCAACTAATCTGTTTAAATTGCACGAGTTTGTACATTTGATGAAATATGAAGGAAACGCGTCACTTTGTTGCGGTACAGCACTGGAAGGGCGGTGGGAGTTTGGGAACGGTTACTGACCTATCTCCTCTCATGGTTACAGACTATCTTTGTGAGAACAAGGCAAGCGGCGCGAAATAGCGTTGTAGTGATATGGAGACGCGACGTTTTATGATGCGAATCATACGAGAGAGGAAATTTTAGTGTTTTATAGACTATCTATCTAATAAAAAAAATATACATATATCAATATATTTGTATGTATAAGGCAGTTTTTAAATATTTTTTGAGACTACTTTTAATATTCGTTGGATTTGTAGAATTAATATCCGTGTTTGTAATGCCCAAATTTTACCTCATGTTGCGTTTGAATAATCGCATTGCCAGACGTTGGTAATTAATATCCATCAGTTACAAGCCGGACTTTACATTACGTCTGATCCAAATGACAGCAATTTGTGTAATTGACGATACGTGCGGAACAAGTCCAAGGATCGAGAATTCGTGATCCCGCGATAACTGACCTAACCGAACGTACGTTCAGGTGACGTCGCGACGTCGCGATGTCTACTGCAAGCTTATTCCGTCGTGCAAGCTCTTTTCTCTCCCTCTCTTCCTATTTTCACCCATCGTCGCGACTACACATGTACACACACACACACACATACGCACACATATATTTAGAAATCCGCGCTTCGCCGAGAGAGAACGGCAGCTTTAATTACGAATATCCATTCGCGACTCGGTTTCTATCTTCATTTTTCTTTCTCTCTCCGTAGCACGGATTTTCTCTTTTCTCTTTTCGCACGTGCACATCGACGAGCGCGAAATTATTTCTGCCGTCCGTTCGCTTTCTGCTTTACCATGACGAGGTTTCCAGGCGACGTTCTCGCGAGAGGACAGATTTGGCAGATCCGGCACTGTCGGCGGGCAACGAGCGGTTGAACAATCGATTACAGAAACACGCGGGATAACGGATTATTCAAGAATGCCCTCAAGGGCAATTTTCAGATCGTTGCTAAACTTATGGTTCAGCTGGATGATGGGATAATTTCGAAGCGACTACACAGACGAAATTCTTTCAAGTGCTAGAATCGTTATTAAATCGGCAAGTAAAAATATCATTTTCATTTTCAATACATAATTGATGTAAATTTTAAATATATTTAGATAACAAATTTCAAAAAATGTTGCTGACAATACGCGCGTTTTTGCCAACGTGTTCGCCTTTTGATTTGACGAATTTGAAGTTTGACGAATTCCATCGCTTGCCGCGTAGTTCGCTCACCGTGATTTAATAGGATTATCCTATTTGAATTTTTTGACGTCGCACGTAGTTATAATTGATTGAAATCAGACTAGGTAAAAGCCTTCCTATTGACACAGTACAGAGGGAGGCTTTTCGATCGGTCGTTCAAAGAGATACGCGAAAATAAAGGATGTCTCTTCGGAATTCCTTTTTTTTTTTAAGTATATAGCAATTTCTTTCGAAAGAATTTGCATTTTATATAATAATATACTGAAACATGAAATTTCACGTAAAAATATGAGGCTTGACAATGGTGGACGTTACAAAATTCGCATGTTATTGCATGACTCGAGACAATAATCTCGCTTTATTTCCACGTTCCACGTTCGATAAGATCTAAACCGCAAGAGGCTGAATCTAGGGAGAGAGCGACCTGTATTTCATACAAAGGAAAGCGTCGAAGAATATCGGAGTTCGGAAATAAGGTTCCGAGCTTGAAAGCTCCTGATATCAAAACGTCGAGCGTTTGAGTCTGATACGTAGCACGTCAAGTTCTGGTCTTTGAACCTTCTAACGAAGTAATAAGTTCCCAAAGTCTAAGTTCCTGCCGGTTGATTACTTTATCCCTGCGCCTCGGCGCACGGACGGTCGTTAATAGATTCCAATTCACTTTAAGGTCCTTTCGTCTCTCTCTCGCCGGGGGTTAAACAAAATCACTCGGTAGTCACGGCTTTCAGCTACTCGCGGATGCACTTGTCTCGATTTAAAAGTTGATATTTCGCGAATATACGCGCATGCACAAGTTACATTAGCGGATCCGCCACATGTCGAGGAGACTCAATGAATGAAGCTCGTGAAAACAATCGCAAACTATTATGAGGTCTCGAAAAACAAAATATTAAAATCGACCGATATGAATTATATTCGGACTCACAGATTTCATATGCATATTCCTGTGATTGAATATGAAAATATACTGAATGCCACGTATACATTAATTTTAATAAATCGAGTTATTTCCAGTATCAACATACGCGATAAAAACATATCGAATTTAATGTATTAATGAAGCATATTGACAAGCCTGACGTTCCACCTTTCAGCATCTAAATATAATTCTTCTGAATTATCAATATATTTCGATTGAAGAAAATAGCCTGAAGTCACGGTCGCTATTTATTATTAGTCGATCATTATTGTACGTCTTTATCCAATATCATGTAGAAGAAATTTTAAAAATAATTTTTATATTTAAAGATCGATGGTCATGTATCAATTGAATATAATTATGACAGTGACAAAAGACGATGGTCGTTAATGTTGAGTAATGTTGTGACGGCGTATTCATTCATTCCACTATCACAATTAGGTATACTCCGGTTTAACCACAAATTGGCTCACTATATCAGCGAAATTCCACCGGCGCATTCGGGCGGCGATGTCGATCCACGCGCGTGGCGGAAGTCGGGGTGAGCTTTACACGCGGGGGTAACTCACGATGGCGGAAAGATTCGCGGCGGTTGTGCGACTCTCGCGGGGGATGAGAGAGACAATCGAATCGCACACATGTACAAAAGGTCGCGGGGGCGAGGTTATTGCTTTCGCCGGGGTGAACCGCGCGCGCGAGAGCGAGCGGGCGTCACAACAAACGGAAGCCGGAAGTGGCCGCGGATCGATTCCGCAGCCCCGCCGCGCTCGGTCGTGGACCTCGAAAAAGCCGGCAGCTCTCTCTCGTCGAGGCGCTGCCGCGGCACGGCACGGCACCCGACACGAAACACAGCCAGACTGCGTGGCGACCACCTGTGAGCTTCGTATCGGCGCCGGCGTCGCGACGCCCACGTAGGTACTATTCATCGACCGATCCCCCTACATGTCGCTTCTCCCTCGTGAGCGTCCGACGTTCCCAGCATCGAGTTGGTCAATGACGGCTCGTTCTTTGATACCGTCGGTAATTCCTCAACTTGCTAGGAATGTTATCTATCTAATGTCGGCTTGGTGCAAAATTCTTTTTCGTTTCTTCATTTACTTCCGTCTTTAGATAAAGTCGCTTTGAACCTCGACATATAAATTATATAGAATCGTTTTTTAATTATGTTAAAATGTGAAACGTTATTTTGTGCGATTATTCTGTGCGTCATTAAAATCGTAATTTTACGTAATCACGTTATGTCGAAGAGAATCAGCTGGAATATTGGAGTAAAATAAAGACAATCCCTTTTATGCACGGAAGATACATACGAACAGACAAAGCGTTTCCGCGCAGCGCGATTCTATAAAGATCGACATTACCTCGATTGCAGTTACGCTACATAGTAATCGTTGTAATTAAGATAATTACAACATTGCCTTTCCGCCTTCGACATTGCTATCTCGGAAATATTTGAACCGAATTTTCTTTCAACTCGGTGTACGTTTTACATTATTTTTTAATTAAACACGATTCTTTATAAATTTATATATTTTCAAAAACCGTAAAACTGAATAAAGATAAAGAAAATCTTCTTTTCTTGTCAGATTTATTTAATGAGAAATTGACAATATTATAAAGCTAAAGAATTATTTTACGTCTTATTAATGATACAATAATTAATGTACAATACAATACTAATACAAGATCTAAAAAAATGTATGCTCTTTGAGGCAGGTAAAACTTTCAAGATTTTGCTAAAAGCTATTGCTAAAGCTATTATCACTAAAAAAATAAAGAGAAATTTACGGAAAATTATTTTTTCTTACCTCCATTGTGAACGACGTATATTTAAAAAATCCACAATGCATTCACAACGTGCCTAAAAGTGATTAATCGAAACACAACGTAACTGCAATCATGGATTTGTGTGTACAGTATTTCTATAATATATTTTACATAAAAATATAATAAGCTACGTAAAATATTTCTTCACTTTAATTAAGCACTCGAATATTAAATTTGTATGTGATAACTAATAATTCGCAATTTAAGTAAAACGTGATTTTTTTAAATCAAACATCACACGAAATCTTCTATCGAAAATTAATCTAATATTGTCTCACAGAACAAGACACTTGTTTGTAACGGTTAAGCACAAAGCAGAGCCGTGTCGAGCCACTCGCGTCGCGCTTCGCGTCTCCCGCGCGAATAAACGTGGGTCTACGATCGTAGGTCGCGCGATACCTCGTCGGAATCCTTTCTCTTTCCGAAACGCGAGTCCGCGGTGGATACTCTTGCTGATCGGGGGGCGAGTAACTGGACAATATATGCGAAAGCGTTTCGCACCGAGCTTATTTCTGCTTTCGGTGTTCAAGACACGATTTATATATTAATTCGTGCGAATCAGTTTTCCAAATATCTTTTACAGTGTTTATCGCGTTTTCGATCGATTTAATTTTTTTATTTAAATTTTTTCTTATGGCTTTTACAAAGTAAAAGTCTTTTCATCGTGAATATTCGTCTTGTCCACCGGACTCCTTTGAAGTCTAACACCAATCTTGTTCTGTCTAGCATATAAAAAACGAAGACAGATTACTGCGGACACTATAGGGCGCGGTAAAGAACACACAAAGAGCTTTTCTCAAGTCTCACACATACCCTGCCCGCGCCCATTGCAACTTCAAAGAAGTCGAACTTCTAATAATAGACGTGTTCTTACTTTTCATCTATCGTGATTTCTCTCGCTCTCCAAGCATCCCCGTTTTACACGCGAAGAAATATATCTCTACGACGACAAGACTCTTGTTTAGTAATTTTTCGATCGAATCGCATTTTGCATGTTTATTCTCTATCGCGTGCCGGGAATCGTGATGTTTGATCATATTTTAAAGAATACACCGATGATAAAGTGACTCAAATAAAAACGATAGTATAAAGATGAGTGAATTTATATTCGACAAGGTTGAATGTGTCTCCCTTTTTTTCCAGTCATGAAATCACGATTCAATGTTACGGTCTGGTGAACGTAGTACACGCATGCACCGTGGGCACGTGTACGGCCGGACCCAAACGATCCTCCCGTTTTTACCCACCGGTCCTTGACTCGATTTTTGGGTCGTTGCAATATAAATACAGGCTGGTCGATAAGTTCAAGGTTCGCGGCACGGTCGAACCGAAGCCTCCGCGCATTTATCAGCTCGTTAACCGCTCCCCTTTCACATATAGTTTGAAACATGCCGCGCACATTTTTCTCGTTTACGCAAGATTAATTGGCGCAGTCGAGTGTAAGAGCCATTTTTCAAAACGTACGCCATGATGAAAAATTTATAATTTAGATGGGAAATTAGGCGAGACGAGCGCAATAAATTTTAACGTAGCATTTAACAGAAT